AGAGAAGGTTCTTCCCTTGCTTCCCCTTTATTATCGAATATCATACATATCTACTATGCTGTAGAAGCCTTAAGTAGGGCTCCTATAGCTCTAACCATCAAGTATACTCTCTCTGCTGTACTGGGTAGTCTTTCTATCTCCCGTTGGCCTCGGGTTTTAGAAGGAGTTGCTTTTATTCTTCAGCCAGTTCCTTCCCTTGAGAGAAAATTCCTAATCTTTGCGAGCCATTTCCGGGCCTTCTCGCTAGGAGTTCTATTACATTCCGTCCACTCTCCGTAAGAGAGGGTTACAGTGAAATATCTGATTTTTTTCTAGGCATGCTCCCTCTTTTTTAGTCTAGGCAAGAAAGAGGATAATTTCAAAGATAAGTAAAGTAAAATGGAAAAAGTGCCTCCTTTTGATTAGCCAGTTTCCAAGAGGGAGAAGGTCTTCTGGCAATATCAGGCATACTACTTAATCTATTTATTATTATTTCCTTTTGCGATCGAGCAACCTAGGAACAGTTGTTGCCTACATAACCGACCTCTCAGACCAAGTATCAGATCACTGTAGTTCAGTTCGAGACCCTTTTTGTTAAACTAGTTCCTGTACATTCTTCATTTTCAGATTGAAAAGGGGTGAAAGGACTGGAGGGGAAGGGGAAAGAAAGGAAGTGCCCTAGGCATCAGAAAGAGCTTTGAGGTCGATCTTCTCGAGAGAGTCTTTCCATCTACTTACTACTCAGTCATTGAACTTTTTTGGTCGACATAAGATGACCAATCACCTGACCACCTGGGCCTATAGTATGAGGACCAACCAAGAAAAAGCAATTTCAAATCAAGAATCTCGAAATGATCAGTCCGACCCTTTCTACTTCTATCTTCAAGTACTCTCCAGTCAAGCAAGCTCTCTTTTGGCAATGAGCCCTTTTCTTTTGTTTGGAAGCAACAAAATGGGGGCGGCATTCTCTTTCTCACTTCTATTCGTATTCGAAGTCTTATGGTGGCATATAGATCAGGACGACCTAGAATAAGGAAAGGGGCACTAGTCGATTAGTCAACTTCCTTCTTCTCTCACAAAGGAGTGTCCTATGATTGTGATTGGACAAGGTAGAAATTTAACTTCTTTTTTTCTCTTCTATGAGGGGAAGTCAAGGACCAGTATGATGCTATGCTAGTAGGAGTAGTGATGTCAGAAAGAAGGGCGATGAGCTTCTTGCGTCTATAGGAAGGTTGATTAAGGAAGGCATTTGAAGAAGGGAAGGGGTATCGAAGAAGAGGTATCGGAGAACCAAAGCAGGCTGTTAAGGATAAAGGCGAGATGTCTGGTTTGCAATGGGAAGGCGCAGCTAGCCGAGCAGAAAAAGTTCTGGTTAAGGATTCAAAGAGTTGCAAGGAAAAAGAGCTTTATCGGGCAAGCAAGCATATCTAAAAAGTATGTCAGCGATTAGGTCAGCACGGGTAGGTCAGCTAGTCAGTCTGATGTCTGATAGGTGGTAGCGAACAGAGTGCGAGGTGATTGTTGTTGAAAGCCCGTCCTTCAGCCGCCCAAGCCCCCCTTTCGTCAAATAGAGAAGCTTCGGGAATAGGAACTGAACTCCTTATAGGATTAAGGTCCTAGCTCAACTATTCCTCTTGAATAGGAGCCATTATGGAGGCTGCAGTGGATTGGGCTTAGTTAGTCTTCAATGGCTTATTAGGCCCTTGCATAGCCACCTATTTCTTTCTGTCACATCCGAAGAATCATAGGAGACCGAGTAAGATCCCCGCCAAATGAAAAGGCTGCTCAAATGTCCAACTTGGTTGGAAGAGCAGAAAGTATAGGCTTCTTTCCTAGTCCTACTCCCGCTCGGTGGGTGAGTCTCTCGACATTGAATCATACGAATGTGGGAATACCAAGCTGCGAAACCTTTACCTACCCTACCTTCACGCCTCAATCGCCATCCTCTATTCTATTATGTATCGCCGCTAGCTCATACCATGTGTCTTTGAACCGCAATTGCATTCCTCTGTGTCCGAATTCACTATGCTATGGCTAACTGAACTAGGACCATTGGAAAGAGAGAATCTATTGCATGTCCAGAAGTAGCTTATGTCATGTCGTGCTACGAATGAAAGAGGTCCCTACCCTCATGCCTAGCTCCCGCAACCTGTAAATACGAGGCTTTCAGATGTGCTACTTCGGGAAGAAGATTGAATCCGCTCGACCATAAGGAAGGGAGCCGAGCCGGTTCAGATTCCTAACCACTGGAATAACTGGATGCGATGGCTTCGCTTTCTGAGCTCGGTTGGCAGCCCATCCCTCCCCTCCTTTCTATCATTCATCAAGGCCCTTTTTGAACCGTAACTGAAAGGTTACATCCTATTAACTTGTTTTGAATCGATCTTTGGTGATTGGGAAAGAGCCCTAGCCTTCGGTTCCGATCTTTTGACTTTTCTAAGTAGCTGGAGCTAGCAACAGGGGTCTCGGTTAGCTACTGACTGGTAGACAGAACAGACTGGCCTCCTCGATGACGACAGTTACCCGCTGAACTAATAGGAAGAGCTGTTAGAGCAGCCGTACTTACTGACCGCAGATTAACTTTGCTCGACTGGAAAACCTTCTCCATCTTTTATTTTGATCCTACTCTGGTGAGAAAATCTGTCCTTGAGTCCGCTAAAAGACTAGGGCAAATAGCCCTAAAATAAAGAAGCGCTGGACTGCACTCGATAATGCTTCGTATTTAAATAATTCAGGATTGTACAGTATAACCTCCCTCTTAATGTCTACCCTCAGACCATTGACGAACCTACTGCCCCATTGACTAAGAAAATGAATGGCTCTTCATCAATTTCACACCTAAGCATAAGCTCTTCAAATCGAGCCTAATAGTAAGACACATTAGACGTCGATTGCCTAAGATTTTACAACTGTTCAACCGATTGACTCCTATAGTTGGTGGGGAGGTATTTTTCCTTCCACTTCTGCTTCATGACTGCCTACTGAGTGATGGGTGGTTCACCTAGACGCCCTAAGTTGCGTTAGACACTGTGCCAATCTTTCTTGGCTGATCCTATTCACTTCTTCCGATTCCGAATCTTGGCAAAACGAAGACGCTCTATGTCAGACATGCATGCCATACCAATCAAAATAGTCCTCAATGTTATCCAACCAATCTTTGAAGATATGAGATTAGGGTCCAACTTTCCATCATATTCAGGGACATCCACTTTGACTCTCCTAGTAATGTCTCCTAAATCCTCATGACCATACATACCTAGGAGGTTGTGGTGAACGCCTGTTCTGTCTATCTGGAATCCTAGTATGGGATCCGACTGGAACTCTATGGGTTGGTCCTCATAAAAATGATCACCATCATCAAGTGCCGCTCTAGGATCTAAGGTTGGAAGGAGATCACCATCAGGGGGAAATCTGACAGTTGGTCTAGGGGTTGCGTGACTCATCCTATTAGGTTGGGCGCCATGTGTCCCAGAAGTGGGGAGTCTTCCGTGCACTGACCCTATTTTATAAATAAGAAATATATAAGGGTAACCCTTTAACTGCCTAACTGAATCCTGTAAATCCTCTCCTTCCCCTACAGGGCGCTTACCCAAGTCTTTCAGGATTTGTGAAAACTGATCAGAGAGTTGCTCCTATATTGATATTAGCTGTGGGACTTCGGTGCCTTAAGCGGAAGAGGGGATTTCTTTCTCTAGCGACTCTGGCTGCTACGCTCCTTTATTATTCTTTTTTTCACCTTGAAGAAGTCAAAGCCAAAAATCTTATAAATAGAAGGAAGAGAGATCAGAAAGATACGCGGACGACTTTACTATAGTATAGGTCGGATGTTTCCGTGAGCAGTAAGCAGCAGATCTCCCCTTATTTATTTTGGGAAAGCAGGTGGCCGCCTGTGAATTCTTTCAAGGCAAGGGGCGATTCGACATTGTTGTTTACTCTGATCCGGTCGAGGTGGTTTTAGTTTACCAGCGCGTAGGCGGTCTAAGTTCCTATGACCGAGTCTTTCTGGCCCCTGTGAACATCTTTTATTAATGTATTAAAGAGGGCCTCTCTAACCGGTTAAAAGTGGTGGGTGTCCACTAACGGCCATTCCTGGCTCGGCTACGATAACGCAATTCCGGAAGGAGTCGGTAGTTGGGCACTGGATCCCTTCGGACCTGGAGAACGTGTGACGCTGGGTCGGGGTTTGGTGAACCAACTGGTCGCTCCTCTAGTTGAAGTATCGGGCCCCTTTTTCTTTCGTTGCCTAGGTTACACCTTCGGAAGACCCCAGAAGGGAATTTTTATCTATTTCCCTCAATCTTCACTTTACGCCACGCCGACTCTCCTTTCGTCATAAGGCGTGGAATTAGACCCAGGGGAATCTCCATAGGAACTAGTCCCTCAGATTTCGCACGTAGGAGATCGAGACACAGCCCCAGGGCTATGAGGAAAGATGTAGATCGATCGCCTCAGATAGACAACTACATAGAGGGTCTCTACAAGTCTTTATATTTTATTTTTTTTCGTTCCCCCCGTAAGATCACCAATGAGGTCTGCAAGTTTCACATCTAAGTAATACCCGATCCGATATATAATATATTTAACAACAACATTCTAAGCTAAGAAAGGAGATTTTTAGATATCGGTAGTTGTCCGGTCGTACCCAAACAGTAAGATTCCAGAGGGAAATGCACCTAAGATCAAATATTTCGAGCCGGCTTCCGTGGAAAATTCAGACTTTCTTTTTGATGCTGCCATCACATAAAAACATAAACTTTGAGGCTCAATAGCTAAATACATGGCAATTGAATCATGAGCCGAGATCATAAAGAGCATACTGCGAGTAGGAAGTGGAATTAATACAATGAATTCAGAAGCATCAAACCTCTCTTGTTCGGAAGAATCGAAACACATCGAAATGGTACCAGCCGTACTTAATAAGAGAAGGATTTGGCAGAAATATGTAAAATTGTCCTTCCTAAAAAGATTATTCTGGAATAAATGGGCAATAGTTAGGAGAGGTGCGCCAGCGGCGAGCAGAAGCAAGGTTATTAGATACCTCAGGAAAGCCCGGCCAGAACCACACGTGCAAGTTTCCCTGCATGTGGCTCGTCCGTGATAACTTTTTCGGATTTGCGCGAACTAGCGGACCTATCACTAAGTGGGGATGCTCCCTCCAGCATGAGCGAACCTTTTCGAAACTGGTTAGGAATGGGCGTCACTATCCCAGCCCGGATCCAGCCAGGTTCTATTGATCTGGTAAACCCCTTACCCCTTGTCTTGGGGCGTCTTTGGCTTTACGAGAGAAAGCCCGCCATAAAAGTCTTTCTCTTCTCGTCCTGGATCATATTCCGGTGCGTCCACAGAAGAGGAAATCGCAATGCATCTTTCTCAGCAGGCGTTGCTTGGAGTGGGAGTGTAGCGTGGGTAAGGTTAGGAAAGTGGCCGCCACGCCAGAGAGTAAGCCAAAGAAACCGGCCTATTAAGCGCAGCTAAGCTAATATGCGCCGGAGAAAGCCAGGTGTGATTACCTGAGGTAAGCTCTATTCTATTCGGCCCGGAGCATTGATTCCCCATAACTAATAGGCTAACTCTATCTCTCAATTGCCTATCCTGTGCTCGAGAAGGTCCCCCAGTTCCTCGGCAGCACCTCGAGGTTTATTTAGTTGTCTTACATGAGACTCGGGATCTTCCTCACTCCATGGCACCTTTCGCTCATCCATTCCGCCCGTCCAGACGGCGGCGCCCTTTTTCATTATCATCTACCGCCCTTTCTTTCCTCCCGGCTATTCACGCATGAAGATCGTCGTATGTATGCTCGATTTCGGTTGCCGGTGCGTGTAGGTAGGAGTACATTATGGCAGGATCAGTCACCCGGGCAAACCAACCCTCCTCCAAGAATAATTGTGCTATGCCCCCCCTGATCCCTATAGAGCGAAAGAGCTGCCTGGTGATCCCTAGGTTGCAGCACGTCCGGTCCTCCTCGCGCCGCTGCCGCCGTTTCTAGGACCGACCGACGCCTCACCTGCACAGGTACCTACGTAGTGTAGTGTCGGTCGCACATTCAACATAGCGTTCGGACTCATGTGCCTTCCAGAACCAGGGGTCTTCGAGCCAGCTGCGTACGATTAGCCAGCCTTGCGGCTGCAAAAGGATTAGACGTCCTCCCATTCCCATGCTACGGTTCCCTGCGGTCCGAACCCGGTGCCGCATTAGGTTAGGGAGCTGGGCTTTTTTCGCTCCTCTCACATTCGTTCGAGCTGCTTCGCTCCTCCGCATCCCAAAGCGCGCTGCCCTCCTAGGCGCGCAACACTAAGTAATCCAAGCCAACCCACATTACTGACTAACGGTGGAAAGATTGCATGCCTTGATCCGCTACTGTTAGAAATTCATGTTCAAGCTAGTTTCAACAATACCATTGTGACTGTTACTCTTGTACAGGGGCGGGTAATTTTTTTGGTCCTCCATCGGTACTTGTGGATTCGAGGGTACACGAAGAGGCACACCATTTGCCGCTCAAACTACATCAGCAAATGATATTCTAACAGTAGCGGATCAAGGCATGCAATGGGCAGAAGTCATGATTAAAGGTCTCGATCTCAAAAGAGATGCACCAATAAGAGCTATTCGTATAAGTGGTATATTATTAAAATTTATACGGGATGTAACCCCTATGCCACATAATGGATGTAGGTCTCTGAAAAAACGACGTGTGTAAAACGAAAAACAAACATGGAAGCGATTTCAAGAGAAATAAACCATTAAAGGATTTAATAATATATATAATATATTACTATTGTTCGAATCAAGAGAAATAAACCATTGAAGAGTATCTACTCGGACACTCCGTCGGAAGTGTGTTGAATCAAGAGTAGATAGTAAGCGTCTTTATTATGGGCGCTAAGCGTCTTTACAATTGGCACTAGATCTATTTTGAGAAAGATAATCTCAAAATTTGATCCTATAGCAAGATGGCCTCAAGATCATTCCTAGGAGAAGGCTCCAACATAAACAGACCTCCAAGTTTTGTTGGAGAGTGCTACGACTTCTGGAAAATCAGGATGAAGATTTTCATAGAGTCACAAGACTTGGATAATTGGAATGTGATCGAGGAAGGACCATATGAAACCTTCACCATAGTCAACAACACAAGGGAAATAAAGCCAAAATCTTCATGGAATGATGAAGATAAAAAGAAGGTGCAATACGATCTTAAAGCAAAAAACATCATCATTTCTGTGAAGAAGATCTTGCTCCTGACCTTGGCACAGTTTTGATGAAGACACCAATATCACAAAAAGAAGAAAGGAAGAAGACCTACGAAGACTATCGAGATAAAACTTCAAAGAAATAGAGTTTAAGTCTTAGCTACTTCTATCCTTACAACTCATTTATTTACTTAGTTAATAATGCTCAAAATTGTTTTCAAAAAAATCAGAATAATCTAAGTGTGAATAAAAATAATTTTCAAAAACAACATGTAACGGGTTACCATACTTGAGTAACAAGTTACATGAGTGAGAAAAGAGTTTTCAAACCTCTAACAGCTATGAGTAATCCATTACAGACTTTGGAGTAACAAATTACCATTTTTAGAAAACATGGTAATCAATTACTCAAAGTAGTGTAATCGATTACACTAAGGCAAATTCACAAAGCTGTCAAACGGTGTTGTTGAGTAATCAATTACTCAAATCCAATAATCGATTACACTGTGTGAATTTTCAAAAAGTTGTTAACAGGATTGTTGGGTAATCGATTACCCACTTAAAGTAATCGATTACTGAGAGCTGTTGCATCAGTTTTCAGATTTCAAGTGAAAGGGTTTCACTCCAAACTGATTGCTTTTCATTCCAAACGAAACCTACTCATACCTAGGGGTATTATGGTTGATTGGAAGCCTATATAAAGACATTGAAACACTATCACAACATACAACAAGATATACAACTCAAATTACAAACTTGTATTTGAAACTCTTAAAAGCTCTCACATTTTCTGATTTTTCTTACACTTCAAGCAACCTACTCTCAAACTTTCAAAGTTATTTTGAAGTTGCTTCTAAGTGTATTTCATACTTTCAAAAAGAGCATTATTATCTCAAGTAGAAAGAGTTGTTATTGGATTGCAAGTTCTAGGAATTGTCATATACACTTGTAAGGCAATCCAAGCCAAATTGTACATTCTTCACTTTTGCAAAGTTTACTTTCTTTCACAATGGTGTGAAGAGAGAGGGTGAATGACTTGGTATAGTGTTTACCAAAGGTGTAACTTGGTATAGTGTTTACCAAGGGTGTGACTTGGAATAGAGTTTCCAAGGGGATTAGATATAAGCGAGTGTGTAAGGTACAAGGAGATCTCGAGGTGAGATAATTGTAATTGCAACTCATTATATTTAATAAAGGAATCTCTTGCGCGTCAAGAGTACTTGACGTAGCCTTTGGTGGACAAGAAGGTGAACCAGTATAAAACACTTGTGTACTCTATTTCCCTTCTCTTTGTTAATCTTCTATCCTTCCTAGTCAATATTTTTCCGCATAATTTTTCCGCTGCACATTAACTTTGATATTACAGAAAAATTGGCCATACTTATTGTAACAACTAATTCACTCCCCCTCTTAGTTGCAATCTCAGTCTTACAATTGGCACCAGAGCTAATTTTGAGTAAGCTATTCTCAAAACCTGATCCTGCTACAACATGGCCTCAAGATCATTCCTAGGAGAAGGCTCCAACATAAACAGACCTCCAAGTTTCGTTGGAGAGTGTTACGACTTCTGGAAAATCAAGATGAGGATTTTCATAGAGTCGCAAGACATGGACATATGGAATGAAATCGAAGAAGGACCATATGAACCCTTTAGCGTAATCAACAACACAAGGAAAATAAAGCCCAAATCTTCATGGAATGATGAAAATAAAAAGAAGGTGCAATTCGATCTCAAAGCAAAGAACATCCTCATTTCAGCACTTGGCAATGATGATCTTTTCATGATATCAAATTGCAAATCGGCCAATGAAATATGGGATACTCTAGAGATTATGCATGAAGGAATGGAGGAAGATAAAAGGTCAATGCTCAACAATACTTGTTCTACATCTGAACCAGTAAATGACGAAAAAGTTCATCTCTCGCTATTGGTATCTCATCATTCTAATGATGAAGAGATAAGTAAAACTAAACTTTTTTCTTCTTCTGAATTACAATTAGCATTTAATGAATTGCATGATGAATATGTCAAACTTAGAAAATTATTTCTAAAACAGAAAACTGAATTAGAAATGTTTAGAAATAAATCATCATCATCCTCTTCATGTCAAAATTGCATTACTCTTTGTAACAAAGTTTCTACATTGAGTCTTGAACTCAACAAAATGAACAAGAGTAACAAGAGCTTGAGTAAGATCATTAATGATCAAAGACACTCTACGGACCGAAGAGGTCTTGGCTATGGAAAAGGCCCTGCTCTTTTAAAAAACAAAGTAAGTCTATCATAAGAGACTTTCGGAAAACATGTATCCATGCATCTACACATAGCAAACATAAATCTAGGATACATATGCATCAACCTATTTGCTCTTATTGTAAAAACTATGGGCATACACCAAACACTTGTTCAATAAGAAAATATGGTGTTCCTTTAGGATATTTTAAATGGGTTGAGAAATGATCTAACAATGTAGGACCCAAAACAAGTTGGGTACCTAATATAACTTAACCTGTTTTGCAGGTAGATTTGAGCGCCGCCCGCAATTTATGGTACTTGGGTAGCGGTTGCTCAAAGCATATGATGGGCGATAAAAGTAAGTTTTATGTCCTTACTCCAAGGGACAAAGGCTATGTCACATATGGTGATAACAACAAGGGAAAAATTCTTGGAGTCGGTAGAATTGGCAAGCCACCTTCAACAACCATAGAAGGAGTGCTATATGTGGAAGGACTTAAGCACAATCATCTAAGCATAAGTCAACTTTGCGACAATGGCTTCCATGTATCATTCTACCCAGATAGGTGCATCATTGAAAGTAATGAATTTCTAAACTCTAAACTTGTTGCTAAGATAATTAATAACATTTACATGATAGATATAGATTCATCTCTTCTTATAACATGT